TATATATATATATATATATATATGTATATAATTAAATTAATTCATTAATTAATTTTTTAAAGACGGAGTTTCACCATGTTGGTCAGGCTGGTCTTGAACTCCCGACCTCCTTGGCCTCCAAAGGGCTTGGATTACAGGGATGAGTCACCATGCTCGGCCCAGTCAAATATATTTTTTAAATGCTTAACATAACTAATCATCAGGGAAATGCAAATCAAAACCACAATGAGGTATCATCTCACCCCAGTTAGGAGGCTATTATCAAAAGACAAAAAGTAGCCAGTGCTGGTGAGGGTGCAGTGAAATAAGCTAGGAACAGGAAGCTATGAACAGGAAGTCAAACACCACACGTTTTCACTCATACATAGAAGCTAAAAAAAGTTGATCCTATAGGAGTAAAAAGTACAACAGAGGTATTAGAGGCTGGGAGGGATAATGGGAAGGGAGGGATAGGGAAAGATTTGTTAAAGGATATAAAATTACAGCTAGATAGGAGGAAAAAATTCTAGTGTTCTATGTCACTGCAGGATGACTATATTTAACAATAATATATAGTTTCAAATAGCTGAGGGGGATTTCAACCTTCCCAATACAAATAAATAATAAATGTTGGAGACAATGAATATGCTAATTACCCTAATCTGACCACATCATACATATTAAAATATCCACTATATATCCCATGAACAGATACAATTATTGTCAATTTTAAAAAAATTAAATTGGCCAGGCAAAGTGACTCACACCTGTAATCCCAGCACTTTGGGAAGCCAAGGCAGGCAGGTCACTTGAGGTCAGGAGTTTGAGAGCAACCTGGCCAACATGGCAAAACCCTGTCTCTACTAAAAATACAAAAATTAGCCAGGCTTGGTGGCAGGCATCTGTAGTCTCAGCTCCCCAGGAGGCTGAGACAGGAGAATCACTTGAACGTGGGAAGCAGAGGTTGCAGTAAGCTGAGATGGTGCCACTGCACTTCAGCCTGGGCGACAGAGCAAGACTCCTTCTCAAAAATAAACAAATATACAAATAAGCAAATAAACAAATATTTTTTAAAATAAAAAATAAATTGAAAAAATTCTTTGGTCTTGTGCCGTTTAAGGATATGTGATAATTAGCTAGTTGTTTTAATATGACACATAGTAAAGGATTTTGGTGAACAATTTTTATGTTTATTAAGAACTACAAAGTGGGATTTGAAAGTTTGTGTTTCTTTTTTCTTGAGATAGTGTCTCCCTCTGACACCTAGGCTGGAGTGCAGAGATGCAATCATAAGCCACAGCAGCCTCAACCCACCAGGCTCAAGCAATCCTCCCAACTAAGCCTCCTAAATAGTTGGGACTACAGATGAGTACTGCCACACTCGGCTAAATTTTTATTTTTGTAGAAGCATTGTCTCCCTCTGTCACCCAGGCTGGTCCCAAACTCCTGGACTCAAGTGATTCTCCTGCATCAGCCTGCCAAAGTACTGGGATTATAGACATGAAGCAATGCACTCTGCCCTGATTTCAATGTTTATCTAGTTAAATCCACACGCTTCTTATGAATGTATTTTATTTAAGGATAATTTTTTTTTTATTAACTGATGAGAACAACTGCTTATTTCCTTGAATGGGTACCACAGCATAGATTCCTAATCTACATTCAAATACTCAGTTTACCAGTTGTTAGAAAGATTCTATGGTAGAAACTCTGGTTGGATATGACTATAATATCTCCCAAATTTGCATATGAGTCCTCATGCAAAGGTAATTTATTTGAAAGCAGGCTCTTTGGTAAATAGCTCTGGGCTTTCATTATAAGTCAAGGGAATCAATTAATTAAAAAAAAGGAGTGGATGAGGCTTGGTGGGTCACACCTATAATCCTAGCACTTTGGGAGTCTGAGGTGGGAGGATCAATTGAGGGTGGAGCTGGAGACCAGCCTGGTCAAAACAGTGAGACTCTATTTTCACAAAAAAAATTTTTTAAGTTAAAAAAAAAAATCAAATTAAAAAAAGAAGTATGCCTTAATATTTTAAAAAATTTTACAAATATTATGGATACCTTTTTCCTATTTTAAATTCTCAACTAGAAAACAAACTTCTTGAGGGCATAGACATGAATAATATCTACATAGGGGCCTCTATGTTAGTCATAGTGCCTGAAAGTAATAATAAGTCAATTCAATATACTCATTCATGTGTTTTGCATCGGTTGACTCGTCAAACCTCGTACTATTAATTCCAAAGCTCAAAACTAAGTGCTGTATTATAGGCCTAGAATAGTAAACAAATGGTTTAGGTTTTAATTTACTTTGTATCCTTCCAAATAATCTGGTAAGATTTTCCAAAGAGCTACCCACATAAAGCTTTTTAAAATTAAATTAAGAAATTGTTGTTTGGTGAAAACCTTTAATAGAATTGGTATGGTCCTCAAGGTTTCCAATGTTAAACCTTCATAACCTCATCCTGATCTGCTCATACAGAATACATCCTAAATTATAAACAGCATAATAATGGAGTCAGTCCATGAAAATTGCTGATAGTCAACTACTTATTATCTAGATATTAGGAAGTAAAACCCCAAAATTAAATCCAGAGAAAACATAAAAACCTAAGTTAGGCTCCTGAGCCTTTTACTAGGGCTACTGGTAGGAAAAGAATTGGTGAATTTGATTCTTTTTTTTTAGAAGCATAAAAATACCTAACTTTGGCCGGGCTCGGTGGCTCACACCTCTTATCCCAGCACTTTGAGAGGCCAAGGCGGGCGAGTCACCTGAGGTCGGGAGTTTGAGACCAGTCTAACCAACAGAGAAACACTGTCTCTACTAAAAATACAAAAATTAGCCAGGTGTGGTGGTGCATGCCTGTAATCCCAGCTACTTGGGAGGCTGAGGCAGGAGAATCACTTGAACCTGAGAGGTGGAGGTTGTAGTGAGCCGAGATCGCGCCATTGCACTCCAGCCTAGGCAACAAGAGCAAAACTCCGTCTCAAAAAAAGAACAAAAAACAAACCAAACTTTACTCAGATGAACTTTTTAAATACAGTATAAAGATGTTAGATGGGCATTCTCCATAAATACCACCACTCACCACTAAATTGTACTTGCTTTACAATTTACTATTTTTCAAAGCCCTTTCATTTTCATCTCATAGATAAATGCCTAGCATTGAGTCCTAGCTATACTTGCTAACAAAGAACTAAGGTTTGGCGTAGAAAGCTCAGGAGAATTTACGGCTCCCAAAAGTGAGTTATTTATCAAATATAGGAGAGTGTTTAATTATGGGAACAAAGAAGCACAATGTCATCAGAAGGGAATGCAGACATAAAGAGAAGGACACGGTGAAGTTTATCTTTACGTTCTAAATTTCATCTGTTAGGCTGGGTAGCCGTCCCAGATGATTCTTTATATTTTTCTTTATATCTTTTTCTATTTACAAAGCATTTCACTTTTTTAAGTGAGTTAATGAATTGATAAAGACACAGCCCTAGTGATCAAAGTAAAGTGAGTCAAGTCCTGACTTCAGTTCTGAAAATCTGTTGCTGAATGACTCACTTTGTGATCCAGGTGCCTCAGTTTCAGTAATACGTGAAAAAAAAAAATGCTGAGGATAGTTCATCTAGGAAGTTCTCAGGTGAAAATACCACCTTTAGAAACACAATCTCATTACATTATGAAACATTTGGGAGTGTAACCTATGTTTCCACGCTTTTATGCTTTTTTAAAAAGTCACCCACATTTTTTGTTTCTGAAAAAAAAAAACAAACAAAAACAAAAACAAAACTGCAGCCTAGGACTGAACATGTTTTCTGTTGCTCCGTAAATCAAAGTGAAGGTATAAATCTTTTGCAAATATTATAATGTCCAGAAATGATTCATAGGCTTTCCCTAGTTTTGCTTCTATTTAAGCGACCCTTTAATGAACATTACTTAAAACTCTTCTTCCCAATTTATGATTGTCATTCTTACATAAAACCCTACAAGATTAGGAAAATGAGCTTGCAGTGACAAGTGACTACCATTTCATATAGAAGATTTGAAACTCTGAGCTATACTAACAATTAGCTTGGTCTCTAGCTATCCCTTAGACAGTAACATTTCAAATGTAAAGTACCAACTTCAGAAAAGTTTATATCAAAGTGTTGACTTATGAGAAACGGAAACACTAGCACAATGGAAAATGCCTGAGACATACTTGGAAAATGTATAACCAAGTCTAAAAACTTAAGTCAATTCTTAAAAGTGGTTCTGTTTATAGAAGTCAACAATTCTATTTTCTAAGTTGTATAAAATACTAGTAAAATATCTCTGAATTCTAAATAAGTTTCTGTAGCACTTCAGTAATGGCAAGAAATTAACAGATAATTCCTTAGCAATATGATATAAAACACTTCAAAGAGATCAAGTAAAACAAAACTGTGAGTGATAAGTTAATAAACTGAATTTAAGTTTTTAGTTTTGAAAAACTTAAATTTTTTTTTAAAAAGTTTCTCAACATGCTCTGCATGACTTCATTCATTCCTCACAAACATAAACATTCCAAAGTTAGGATCATCAACATTCTCGTGTTTAACTTCGAGTAAATACTCAAGTTCACCTGTAAATCTGTCTTGCTTCTGTCAAGATTTTCTGTTTCTCTGCCTTCTATTACTCACCAACTGCATCTGGATTTACCGGTCTGGAGACATCAGCTTGCCCCATGATTATATTGTCTGATGTATCTCACAACAACAAACTGTCCCGGACAAAAGCAAACTTTTCTTAAAAGATAAATCCACATAAAGAGGGGACATGTGATCCTCTCTCAGTGTCACTGCCAAACATCAGGAGAGGGCATGAAGTCAGTTCATCTGCTGAGGTTTCTGTTTCCCATACAGCCTGGGCACTCGTAGTTCTTACAAAACTGTCTTCACACTGGCTCTCTTCACACAGAAATGCCTGTCATTCCAGAATGCACACTGTGTAGAGCTGAAGTGCAGGAAGGGGAGGAGACTGCCAACAATATTCTAGCTGCTGACTGGCATAGCTCAGAAGTCCACACCCCCTGTTCCTGACTTTGAGTTTGGTTGGAACTCTCCAAGCTCTGAGTCACAGAAGAAAGGGAGCCTGCTCAAGAGCATGCCAAAGAATTTACAAATGTAATCACCAGGATGGTTATGAGTAAAAGGCTAATAGGACCAGTAGTCCATTCAAAGGTATGTTTTAGACACAAGCTTACCTCAAAAGTATCAGATTTCACTGTGTTATGGACTGAATGTTTGTGTCCCTTTACAGTTTACATATTGAAATTCTAACCCCCAATGTGATAGTGATAGGAAGTGGGTTCTTTGGGAGATCATTAGGTCATTGAGGTAAAGCCCTCACTAATAGGATTGGTGCCTTATCAAAAAGGACCCAGAGAGCTCTCTCTTTCCATCATGTGAGGGCACGCAAGACAACTGTCTGAAAACCAGGAAGAAGGTCTTCATAGATACCCTGGCACCTTGATCTTGGACTTCCCAGTATCCAGAACTGTTAGAAATAAATGTCTGTAGCTGGGCGTGGTGGCTCTTGCCTGTAATCCCAGCACTTTGGAGGCCGAGGCTGAAGGATTACTTAAGCCCAGGAGTTCAAGATCAGCATGGACAACATAATGAGACTCTGTATCTACAACAAATTTAAAAATTAGCCAGGCAAGGTGGCATGTGCCAGTAGTCCCAGCTAATGGAGGGCGGGGAGGTGAGGTGGGAGGATTGCTTGAGCACAGGAGGTGAGTTGTGAGCTGTGATTACACCATTGCACTCCAGCCTAGGCAACAATGCAAGACCCTGTCTCAAAAATAAATAAAAGAAAGAAAGAAATGTTTGTTGTTTAAGCCCCCCAGTCTATAGTATTCTGTTATAGTAGCCTGAACAAACTAAGACACACTGCTTATTCTAAAATTTTATTTCCTGCCTGTAGGTGGGCATGCCCAAAGCAGGGTGCGATCTATGTACTGGGAATTAATAACATTAGAAACAATATTTTAGGGTTGAATATACCTTTTCTGAGAATACAAACAAATATTTCTGAAAATCTGTTTACTAAAACAATAAGCTTGAAATAAATATTTGGAAGGTATTATATAATAGTTCGCTTCCTGCTAAAACTCAATAATCTCCATATGATCTCGGGGAATAAAAAAAATACAGGGAGTAGCCCTACATGCTGGGCATAATACATGGAAATATCAGCTAATCACATGCAGCAAATGAAGGTCCAATTTGCACACTGATTTTTCTTTTTTTATCCATAACTAACTTAAATACAGCCAAGTACATAAATATTAAGGATATAGCTTGATAAATTTTTATTTAGTATACTACCTTAAATTTTCTAAATGTAAAAAAAAAACCACACATAACACAACCTTAACATATCCTCCACAAAACCTGGATTATTCCACTAACATCTAAAGGTAAAAGAGGAAGCTAACAATTTTGATTACTGTATTAAGGAGTTATATATTAGTTACTGCATTTAATCATCACCACAACTAACCATGCATTGGAGGTATATTTATTTACCCTATTTTCAGAAAGAAAACCATGGATAGTAAGGTCAAATCCTGTGTCTTATATCACCAAGCCTGTAAGTACCAAAGCCCTAATATTCATTCAATAAAAGACAGCTACCCTTGGGTGCAGTGCTGTGCACCTGTAGTTTCAGCTACTCAGGAGGCTGAGGTTGGGAAGATCACTGGACCCCAAGAGTTTGAGTCCAGCCTCGGCAACATAGTGAGCCCTATCTCTAAAAAAAAAAGAAAAAAAGAAAAATAATTTTTTTTTAAATGACAGCTACAAAAAATAGAAATTTTCATTTAAATCTTTGTTCTCCAAACTGAGATCCCAGAAAGATTTCTAGCATCTGGACTTTCTCTTACTTAGCCTATCCTTGGTACATTCAGTTCTCTCTTATTATCTTATTCCCATTATCTGCTTTTGATAGAGGAAGGAAAAAAAAAAAAAAAAACCAGCAAAGGTAACAAATAAGAAAACGTCAATGCTAAGGCATCAGTAAGGGGAAAAAAGTACAGAAACATTCAGACAACATTAAGTTACTACCAATATTAATTGGTAGTAATTAGAAAAACATTAAGATATTGACCATATAGGAAAGAGAGTAAAAGGAAAAATGCACTGAAACTACAATTCAATTAATAATGCCCAATACTTGGGAACCTAGGTACTTATACATATTAGCCTAAAATCAGACCATGAGCATAAGCAGTTTCCACTGCTGTAAAATGAGAATACAAAAGGTGGCAAATGTATTGCATGGCACTCAGGAGGTGCTCAACATACTGTAATTAACAACATTGTTATCACCATCATCGTCATCATGGAGCCAATACAGCATATTGCTTAAGAGCATGAGCTTTGGAGTTAGATTGAAATTTTAATTCCAGCTCTACCACTCATTAAGTGTTAACACTAGGCAAGTTACTTCACCTCTCTAAGTCTCAGTTTTCTAATGTTATAAAAGTATACAAGAATAATTACTAGTGCAAGGTTGGGCGCGGTGGCTCACACCTGTAATCCCAGTATTTTAGGAGGCTGCCTGTAATCCCAGCACTTTAGGAGGCCAAGGTGGGCAGATCACCTGAGGTCAGGAGTTCGAGACCAGCCTGACCAACATGGTGAAACCCCATATCTACTAAAATACAAAAGTTAGCCAGGTGTGGTGGCGGGTACCTGTAATCCCAATCCCAGCTACTCAGGAGGCTAAGGCAGGAGAATCACTTGAACCTGAGAGGTGGAGGTTGTGGTGAGCTGAGAGATCACGCCATTGCACTCTAGTCTGGCTGAAGACTTTCTCAAAACAAACAAACAAACAAACAAAAAAAAACAGCTAAGTCTAGGCCTGGCACAGTGGCTCATTCCTGTAATCCCAGGACTTTGGGAGGCCAAGGCAGGCAGATCACCTGAGTTCAGGAGTTTGAGACCACCCTGGCCAATGCGGTAAAACCCCCATCTCTACTAAAAATACAAAAGTTAGCCAGGTGTGGTGGCTGGCACCTGTAATACTGGCTACTCAGGAGGCTGAGGCAGGAGAATCGCTTGAACCTGGAAGGCAGAGGTTGCAGTGAGCCAAGATTGTGCCACTGCTCTTCAGCCTGGGCAATAGGGCGAGTTTCTGCCTCAAAAAAAGAAGGAAAGAAATGCTAAGTCTATTACTTATGTGCCAATACACTACATGTTGCCTGACCATCGTGTTCCATTTTTCTTCTAACAATCAGTATTTACTCTGTGCTAATTGGTAAGCAGACAAGCAGAAAGGTAGGACGATACTGGCACACTAATGGCATTAAAATGAACAATAAAGCCTTGAGTTCACTTTAATTTTCCATGCATTATGTTTTAGAAATGCAAAAGGAAGTCTGACTTTAACTTTGTAAGAGGTAGACAGCTATCTCTTGTTATTTGTTAGCTAATAAGTTAACTTCCTTTTTAGAGTACTTTTTCCTTCACAGCTTAGTGCCTCAAGGGGAAGTAGTAGAATTAAAATTTGTGATTCTTTTCCTATTTTATTTAGGGAAAGGTCAAGAAACCTTAGGTCAGGTGCAGTGGCTCACACCTCTAGTCCCAGGCCTTTGGGAGGCCAAGGGTGGCAAATCACTTGAATCCAGGAGTTCAAGACCAGCTTGGGCAACATTGTGAAACCCTGACTCTAAAAAAAACAAAAAACAAAAAATTAACCAGGCATGGCAGCACATGCCAGTAGTCGCAGCTACTTGGGAGGCTGAGGCAGAAGGATTGTTTGAGCCCAGGAAGCAGAGGTTGCAGTGAGCTGAGATGGTGCCATTGTACTCCAGCATGGATGACAGAGTGAGACCCTGCCTCAAAAAAAATTAACATGCTAGAAAAATAAGATTTAATGACAAAGGAATTGAAGCTACCATTGAGATTTAGACAGCACTTAAAGCCCTCTAACGAAAGCCTTTTTTATCTTTATTTTTTTTTAGAGACAGAGTCTTGCTTTGGTCACTTAGGCTGGAGTGCAATGGTGCAATCATAGCTCACCGTAACTCCTGGCCTCAGGCAATCTTCCCACCTCAGCCTCCTGTGTAGCTAGAACTTCAGGCATATGCCACCCACCCAGGTAATTCTTAAATTTTTTTGTAGAGACAGGGTCACACTATGTTGCCCAGGCTGGTCCCAAACTCCTGGTTTCAAGAGACCCTCCCTGGGAAGGCCTAGGGGGAGAAAAATTTAAAGTTGTACTTTATTAATAAATAAATAAATAAATAAATGGAGATCCTTTAGCCTTAGCTTCCCAAGATGCTGGGATTACAGGCATGAGCCACTGCACCCGACCCAAGCCTTTCTTGTTTTATTGAAGAACTGTTTCTAATTACCATGTATCGCCTCTAAATTGCTGGGCATACCAAAGATATTCTTTTCCTAAAAGCCTAGATTTGGACAGTTTCACAGGTAATGCTCAACAGAGAAACTTAAGATCATCAGCTAACAGCACAAGTTGCTCCAAAGCAGGCCGCATAAATCTAAATTGAATTTCTCATCAGCAAGCCATGAATTGTTCCTTCCCTCCATTAAGCTAATGCTAATTTGTTAAAATTGTTTATAAGCAGTAAGAATTGTAGAATATCTTTCCTAGGTTCCATCCAGAAGATGAGGAAGACTTTATCCTCCTTTTTCTGAACAAACTATAGTTTGATTGTCTTCTTATATGTTAGTCATTGGACTTCATTACTAAAGACAGACTGAGATCACAGTAGGCTTGCACTGTTCGTGTCTGAGCCAGAGTTCTTTCTGGAATGTGCTTGGTGTTTTAAATTCACTATAAAAATTGTATTATAGTGAATTAACTTGTAGTGAGAATATGTATTTTCAGTTGAAAACCATGATCTCTAAGTGTATCTAAATCCTTCTCTTGCTGGTTGAAATTTTATTATTATTTGAGACAGAGTTTTGTTCTTGTCTAGCAGGCTCAAGTACAATGGTGCAATCTTGGCTCACTGCAACCTCCACCTCCTGGGTTCAAGTAATTCTCCTGCCTCAGCCTCCCAAGTAGCTGGGATTAAAAGCGCCTGCCACCAGGCTCAGCTAATTCTGTATTAGAGACAGGGTTTCACCATATTGGTCAGGCTGGTCTCAAACTCCTGACCTCAGGTGATCCGCCCACCTCAGCCTCCCAAAGTGCTGGGATTACAGTGGTAAGCCACTGCGCCTGGACCCATGTTTATATGTTTAACAAAGTTTATAAGATCAATCCCAAGAGTATAAAGCTTTAAATTAAATGTACTTTTATGCTGAAGTATGAATACAAATTGGATTACCTAGGAAAATAAGCTCTTGACTAATATAATTATAGCTCCCTCAGCTTAATTCAGAATGCTTCTTTCTTATGACTTGAGATGTCTCAGGGAGGTAAACTCCAGTGAGGTTAGGAAGAAGTCACTTTCCTCTAGGACAGGATGACCAACAGAAATTACTAA